AAGAAGAAGGCAGTGGATGAGTCATTGTAAGCCACTGAGTGCACATTAAATTTTATGAAATCTTGAACTTCAAAAGTTGGCAGGGAGGATGGCACGAGGGAGTCAGAATTTGCTGGGCTTCAGGCAGCCCTGGGCTAATTTGTGCAGCACAAACTTTCAGATAGAAGATATAAGAAGCTGAATGCAAATGAAAAGGACTTTCTTGAGCTGGTCAGAGGGCTATCAAGGTTCTGATTTTGGAACTTACTCGAGGGTGCTCAGGATGCCACGAGGCCCTTCTGGGCCCAGTTTCCAGAGGGCTGGATAAAGTTCCTCTACTCACAAATCAAAAACTGTAATTGGGACACACGGCTTCACAAGGGAGCAGGGCATTTGAAATCGGGGTTGGGCCATAAAATCCGGTCTGGGTGACCTCTAGACCCAACACATCCCTTTGCCCTAATGTGCTTGTTTGGTGACAGAACCCCTGTGGCTGGCAGATCACCACAGGGCACCCTTTGTTTATGAGCAAGTCCTGCAAATGGAAATTTCTGCAAAGCACATGACCTGCTCTTCCCAGAAAATAGGACTGAGACACTGCACTTGCTCCCGTCTCCCCAGGCGTGTCCAGCAAACTAATGCTGCTGGTAAGGCTTGTCTTTGCTACCACCCTCCCCTACTGCACCTTGTCCTCTGTGGGTCCCCTCCCCCTCCTATACCCAGGAGCCTGCTCTCCTGGATAGCCCCTGGGGACCCCAACCTTTCCTGACTCATCTCTTCCCTTCAGAGCTCCTGTTCCCATGGCTCTTGTTCTCAGCCCAAGCTGCTGCTCTCAGCGATTAATTCAATTTCACAGCCTCAGGGGAACTCAGCGAGCTCAGGCATCGGTTCGCAGGCAGGTGGATCAATGCAGCCAGTTGGGAGGGTAGGTGGGCAATACCATTAACATTTCCAATGCGTGACCAGCATTCTAACTACTGGGGACTTCTCCTCCAAAAAATAAACCCAGGCACGTGTCAAAATCCATGCACGAGAATGAACACTCAGAGTGACATACAACAAAGGACCTATCAATAGTGGAACTGGTTGAATGAATAATAATCTTAGGGTAGAATACAATGTAGTCAGTAAATAGAATACGGCAGTGGCTCAGAAAGATGTCTAAAATATATTATTAAGTTAAAGAAAATTGGGTGATAGACCCACATGTTAACATGATTGTAGTTTTATAGAAACATGCACCCATCCATTCACATACAGTGATGTGTACACAAATATTTAAAAAAGCAGGGAAGAATTTATTTTAAAATATAATTGGGCTGGGTGTGGTGGCTCATGCCTATAATCCTAGCACTCTGGGAGGCTGAGGCAGGTGGATTGAGGTCAGGGGTTCAAGACCAGCTGAGCAAGAGAGCAACCCCATCTTTACTAAAAATAGAAAAATTAGCTGTGGTGGGTGCCTATAGTCCCAGTTACTTGGGAGGCTGAGGCAGGAGGATCACTTGAGCCCAAGAGTTTGAGGTTGCTGTGAGCTACAATGCCACAGCACTCTACTCAGGGCCACAGAGTGAGATACTATCTCAAAAAAAAGAAAAGAGGATAAATTATAATTAACAGTGTTTCCTTATGGGGAATAGGATTGTAGAACTGAAGGGAGGGATTTATTTCCTTCTTAATTTGTAGTATAAAACTTTATAAATAGTGCTAATATGGGTCATTTTTACAGCTTTCAAGATTCATATTTTGTAAAAGTGCGTATGTGTTCTAAATGGCTGCCTATACAAAGGGTGGTGGCTGAGCAGGTGCGGGTGTGGGAGATCTTTTCAGGTGCTTCATGAGCTGAGGGCTGAGTCAGGTGGGAGGTGGGACTACGGGGAAGCTGTGTGGGGTTAGGAAGTCTCCTAGCCCACGTGGGTGGCTGCTGCCTTTGCTCCCAAAGGATGCTGCATGTGCCACGAAAATAGAGGGAAATTCTTACGCCAAAACCAGGTGGGACTCACCTTCCTGGCACTGGTACTGCACCCACAGGTAGCTGCCCTGAGTCGGGCACAGTTCTCCAAAGTAGGTCCCATCGGCTGCCACCTGGCATGCCTGCAGCCCCTGGCACTGGCCTGGAAACAGGAACAGGGTGAAAGGCAAAGGTGGATACTCCAGCAGCACTTCACAGAGAGACATCACCTCTCACTCATTTATT